TCCTGTCTCGTGAAGCCTCCCTTTGGAATCCCAGTGTTTGAGTTTTTGGTAATTTTATAATTGTAGCATTTTCGTATGGCCCTCTATTTATGTAGCTCCTATTAGCCCATTCTATTGTGTTTCTATATTCAATCAATAGCACTAATTTCATAGTTTCCCATAATCCTTGCAATCTCAGCAGATGAAGCACTACTCGAATCTCTTGCTTCAACCCCTTCATTAAGTTTCCTTCTGCTACTATTTCTGATATCCATCTCAAACAATAGGATAGCATCACAAGTTTCTAAAAATGTCCAACAATCGATCATTGAATTTTTCTCATGTTCTGACCGGCTAACATTGTTCTCTCCATTGATACAATGCTAGGGTCTTCACTTCCAAACACAGGGTCGCCGCCATCAATTATTCTTCCTCTGTCATCCTATTAACAGCAAAGTATCTCTCTAAACAATAAACACAACCATAGGCATCCTCTCTTTCAAAAATTGACATTTTCAGCTTTCTTATGTGTGATCTCCTCCCCAATTTCCTCAACTGAAACTCGTTCTCTTCCTTCGCCCATATTTATTTCCCTTCTTCCATATGTTTTTGCTCGGACCAAAATCAACTCATATGTCGTTGCAGGCTCCTGAATCGATTGCAGCTTGGAAGGCTGCCATGATTGCAGCAACAAAAGGCATTGGTGCGGTCGGATGAATCCTCAGTCGAGGTTCCACCCATCTTGGTTCCACTTTACAAACTGAAATCCTTCAAATTTATCTTCTTCAACCCTAAATCGCATGTCACCGTCCCATTCTATCTGCTCTCACTCACTCCAACTAGCCTGATGTCGCTTGATCCATTCCGCCTGATGTCACTCGAGCCCACTCAACTCAGCGTCGCTCAATCTAGCAGCCCCAGCAATGCTAATCCCCCTACATAGCTTCTCATGCATGGATTGTGTGGTTGGGGGTTATCTTCTCGTGTTTCCAATCCGAACTCACACTCCCTAGCGACAGGGTTAGAGATCCTGCCCGTTGTCAACATCATCATAAGGGGCATAGGGTTGGAATTGAACTCCACAAGCTTCTTCGTCATTTCTTCTAAGGTCATGAATCGCTCCTCATTGGATAAGAACCACCCCTCCATAGACGAGAAATGCTCCTTCATTCCAGATTTGAGTTAGCTCGCCTCTCCTAGTTTCTCTTCCAAAGCATGGACCTTCTTGGCCTCCATTACTCTCAAGTACGGCTTTGATACTAATTTGATAGGACGAGAATTTCCACAGAGATTAGAGTGAAATAAAATATTTTATTACACTGGCGCAAACCAACCCAACTCTAAAAACAAACAAAATAGACCTACAATCCGAGAGATAAGTCAAATCTCTCCCAAACACTAAACTCCTAAAAAAAGACATCAATCACGCACATACCTTAACCCTAATTATATCAACGCTATATATACGAAACAATAATACCTAATAAATAACTAAATTGTCGTTTTAGGCTTGTGCCTAAAATAGGTCTTAAATTTACTTGGTGGGCTCGGTGTGGGTTCAATGGGACCACTCGACTTAGTTGAACATTAGGGGAAAGGCATCGTAGGCATTGTTCTAACAGAAAGTTACGAAAAAATAATTTCAAAGAATACATTTACCATCTCAACATTCCACACGATCAACTAGAAAATGAGAATTCACAAAGCTAATCCCAAATGATGTCGATGACAAACTCATAGATAAGTATTGTAAAATATAAACTTAAACCTATAAATTATAACAAAAAGAAAATAAATCTACTTATCAAAAATTCGTACGACTATTGCAATAGCTCATGTATATAAGCAAATTGATAGTCGTCATAAGGCAACTATAATATGTAATATAATTCGCATACACAAGAATAGGCATGAATATTAATTTAAAAAATTAGAAATATAAATATTTAATAATAATAAATTATCTATAAGAATACTTTAATCATGCTAAATACAAATATTTAAATATATTTATTAAGAAATGAACTAAATGGTAATTATTATTATAATTATAGTAAATTTAAATAAGGCTATTAAACATATTATTTGATCAATTATCATACAAATCTAGTTTCTTGATATGCCAAACATGTCTTCTCAATTTCTTTTCTTTTGTTGTAATAAAAAAAATAACAAAAGGATACTCAAAAAAGCTTACGGGGCAATATGTATGTAACAACAATCTCTTTCATAGCTTACTATGAAGCTTTTAATTTAAAAAGATGAACGGTTAGTATTCTTAATACTAGATAGTACATTCATTAGGTAAAAGTTCAATTGCCAACTTATTGAGGTCAAGATTAAACTTCCTTCTTTCTGTTCAATTCCATTGGTATTCATTCTGCTGCAAAGGAGCATATCCCAATCATAGAATTCTGCTCAAATATTTTCTTAATGTAGTCCCATCCCTGCACAGGTAAATTTCACAAGCATATCCTTACTTCTTTTATTGTTATTGCACTCTTTCTAATTGCTCAAATTGTTTTTCCCTTCCTCTCTTCGCTTGTATGATTAGAATAACTACTAAAAGGAATTTATGTCTACAATCAACTAAAGGGAATGATACCGGGGTTTATCCAAACACCAAGAGAAAATAAATATTGTTGCTGACTTCAAATAGAAAATTACAATAAAATACAATGGAAATATGAAATTGTAACAAAACATGACACACAACACTAAACTTGGGTGGATTCCGGGTGGAGAGGTGTCGGCTAGGGAGTTCGGAAGATGGTGGCAAGTGGAGATGGGGGAGAACACAGCAAGGCCGTTCTAGATCAGCGACAGCAAGTATGGAAGGGAGCAGGTGACGGAATACAGCACCAAGAGGCTAGATTAGGGACGGCAGCAAAGCTAGAAGGGGGAGCATGTGGTTGGGATGGCTGGAATGTGTGTTGGAGGATAACGGTTGCGACAAATAGTGGTTATGGGTGGTAGTAGGGTTAGAGGGAAGAAAGGTATAGGGAGATGAAGTGGGAATGAATGGGGAGAAGTATCAGAAGGATAAACACTAACTCAAAATGAGATATAGTCTGAGCACCACTCAAAATCCTTCAATACAGCCCTAGAAGGGAAAAGAAGATACTGACGGTTGTCCCGAAACAAATACACATAAAATTGAACCATAAAACGAACAAGAACAAATATATAACCCTAGGTAAATAAGATTGGGCCCCCTCTTGAAGGGAAGCGGCAATCCTTAGGTTAAAGGACCGTTCGGCTCCCCAATTGCCTTGGCATGTTCGATCCAGAACAGACACATAGCGTCAGCCAAGTCAACTGACACCTGCATCAATCTCCTGGGATTGGGAGAGCTTCAACCTCATCTGTCCATGCTTCAGTTTCCTCATAGTATGGAGTCAGGTTGGTCACATCGAAGATAGCGAAAATGTTGTAATCTCCTGGGGTTGGAGCTCCTTTGGCTGCGCTTCTAGAAGCACCTCGAACCCACTGTCGGATACATTGTCCCCCAAAAAGCCTGAGAATGGTTCTCGAATTGCAAATAACCAACTTTGTTCGTTCAACCATCTGTGGATACATTACTAACCTGAACTGGAACTTACTATTAAGGGTACTCTGTAAAGTCCTCAAAAAATAGCCTGAGATTGCCTCATCCCTCTCTGAACTGAAAATAGACTCAACCTCTCCTAACGGTGACGGCCTTGGAAGTAATCTATCAGTCAAGATATCTTGAAACTCTCTCCATAGTGGTTACCCTATGTCTGATATTAGCTCATTTGTCTCCTTATCATCTAATATCACCAAAATTGATCTCATTGGCGCCTCTCTGATGGCAAGAACACCTGTAACATCGAACTCTGCATAAGGTAGAAGAACTGTGTTTTCCATCCTTTGAGAATGAGTTGATATTCTTGAACTTATCATGTTGAGTACTGCAATCAAACTGTAACAGTCTCCCCAACAGAATATGACAGACATCCATAGTCACAACATCACACTATACTAGATACTGCAACTAATCCCAAATAGAAAACTTCACGAGGCATCTCCTATCAACGTTAACTATGTTTTCCTTCTTTAACCAAGTTAAAAATATAGTTGGGAATGTCTCTGAGAAGTGAGACTCAACTTATCCACTGTTTGTGTAGAAACCACTTTCTTACTACTACCTCGATCGATGACAAGACTGCACACATTTTACTTCACCGTGCAACAAGTATAAGAAAATTATGGCAAAGCCACTACTGCTCCCTCATAGCCTCAGCCTAAATGACCTACCAAATCACAAGCCTCTTGCCCTCATCAACTGGAATTTGGAACTCCTGCATGTCCTCACTATCCTCTTGGTCTCCATCACCACGGTCCACTTCTTTTATTGCTCCCTGCTCAGTGAAAGATATAACTCTGTTTGTAGGGCCACGGGAGGCGATGTGTCCAGATCCATGACATCTAAAATATTTCCTTATGGTCATTGTGCTAGGTATACTGCTCCTCTCATGCTTGTTTCCACAAAATTATATATATAACCGTTACATAAATAGGAGTGGGCCCCTTCTTGAAGGGAGGCAGCACTCCTTAGTTTAGAGGGCCGGCCAACTCTACAACAGCCTGGATAGATTCCATCCAGATCAGGGACGCTGCGTCTGCCACATCAATTGACGCCCGCGTTAGGGAAATAGAAAAAAGGATAACCCAAAGTGAAGACAAGATGAGTCAGCACAGTACACTTGATTAAAAGTACCAAATTTTAGCCTCAAATGATAGAGTTGTATACTGAACTATCAATAACCTTGCTGACTTTTTGGAATAGTTTAAAAGTTCCCAAGTCATGTGAAACCATCAATAACCTCTTGGTTAATTGGCATGTCTAACATATAACATTGAGGTTTAAGGTTGAATTCTAAGAAAAAACCAAAAACGAAAAAAGTTCTGATACTATATGGAAAGGATAACTGGGATTCCATTCATAATAAAATGAAACAAGAAAATAATACATAAAAACGTTTTATCGAGTAGCTCACCTCTCAAGGACAAGTTTTTGACATTGCAATAAATTAGATCCAAATCCACCTGCATTAATTACCCAGCCAATCAAAGTTCAGTGCGATCTTTTGATATTATACAGATAAATACATTCCTAGAAGAAAATCATGGCATCTTCAATGAGAATGGCATTACATCTTGAACCTATGAAACACTATCATATGCTTGACAACAAACTTGATGCATAGCAGCTAAGTTAAATTTTGAAAAAAAAAAACACAAGACAGAATCCGTCAAATTTAGAATGGGAAGAACAAGCACGCTAGGAACTCAATGTAAATAGTGGATAGGATCGTATCAACTAAAAACAGGTATTGGAGCAAAACAAAACAAATTCTTCCTTAGAAACTAAATCAAACTTTGGATCAGAAGACGGCCAGTGCCATACCTCAAGATTTTCAGCATTTTGTGAAGCTATTTCAAGAGCTTGTAAATCAACATCGATACCAATAACATTTCTGCTCATGTTAAAATGAATATTAAATCAGATTAAATATGGTAAAGAATTAGAACATCTTGTAACGTGGTTTTGTTTTTAACAGAACTTCCATGAAATGTATTTATAAGCCACATTCTAAATTAGTCAAGATATTTATTCCAAAAGGAAGAAAGAAATTTGTTCAAAAAGCAAAAAACTACTCACTCTGCACCCAGAAGAGCACTGGCAATGCCTAATGTTCCACAGCCACAGCCAAAATCAGCTACCACCTTGCCATTCACATCACCAAAAGTATTTTCCGCCTGAGATTTTCATGAAATATTAATGCATATAATGTCAAAATCCTATTTTCAACACGACATGAGATTATTTAAAAACTAGAAGTGGTTTATGTTATCTAATAAGTAGTCAACAAACATTAACAAGAGAAAATCAGGCTCATGAATAATATATTTCAAAAAGATGAGCTTATAACAGAGATACTCAACCACTAGAGGCTTACTTGCCACTTAAAATCCCTGATTGTCAGCCATCATAAGAAGTTTGTAAATGTAAGTATTGAAATCTGTCATATCATCAAATAGAAAATAAAGTAGTGAATAATTTCTATACAGTAGATATATTCAAGTGCACGTATTCAATTATTCATTTAAGTACTGATTTCAGCTTTATGCCGAGGAAAGCACTACATCTATTTTCATTGACTGCACTGCATCTATTTTCATCAATTTACAAAGGCAAATTTTTAATTTATCCACTGCACTGCATCTATTTTCACCACAAACAGCTCCCCCAAAAATAACTAGTTGCACTTCTCAGTATCTCTCACAAAGGTAAAGAGACGAGGTATAGTTGCATTACTATAAGGAAGTAATGTTGAAGTTTTTAATTATTCACAGATTCTGATCCGAAAATGCTTGCTTATTCAAACATGAAAGAAAGAATATACCCCTTTCATTTAATGACAACAGAGCCACCCATGGTACTTTATTAGAAATGTAATAACATTCTTCTTTCTGTTTAAAGGAAAACAAAATTACCGGAATCTAACAATAAAAAACAAAGATTAGAATGCCTAGCTATGAAACAAAGGCTGTGAAATATTGGGATGGATATGCAGAGGCTCTACGTTGAAAATAGCTAATATATAGTAGGATTTTTCTGGGTTGAAGTGTTGGTCCAATAAAACATCATTGTAGCATAGCAAAGTTATCAATTTTGAGTGAAATAATATCAAGAATCATTCAAGTGAATAATATGACACAGCTCCCACTTTAAATAACAATATTCTATATTCCATTACAGCAATGAACTTCCATTCCTTTTATCTCTCTCCCCAAATAACTTCCTAAACACTCAATTGAACAATATGCGCACCATAAGTATACAAAAGATGACTTACCATCTCAACATTGGGTGGTGGGTGAGAGGCTAAAGAGGGATAATCAATAGAATAATCATAACATATGAAGTCTTTATTGATTCAATGAGAGGTTATGGGCGTGTTTCGTGACATTCAATCACCACTGGACATACACAGTCCACCTCTTCTTCTCTCTGCAACACCACAATATTTAGATGCATGTTTCCCTTACAATACTTAAGATGCACGTTTTGCTTAATAATAAGAAATCTCACTTATTATCGAAGTCAATAAACCCAATAATTTTCAAAATTTTCTATCATCTGGTAAATTAGACAAATAAATCTTCAAAGCATTCTATACTTATAAACTCCTAATAACTATAATCCTTAACATAAAGGGAAAAAAAAAAAGGCAAAGCAAATAATTTAAGATATGTTTAAATAAATATATTTGAAACAATTGACTGATAAAACGAATCAAATGTTCTCCACGGCTAACTACTTCCCATTGATAAGCCATTTCGGAACCAAAAAGTATGATGATATAAGTGTTTCGCAGAAAGATAATAAGTTTTTCATTTTTTCTCTCTAAACGCAATCAGAAAAATAAAACTTCATTTCAAATAAGAATGCATCATAGTAAGCACTAAATTAACAATTGTATACCATACAAAACAACCAGCAACTCCTCAATAATGCATCCAAAAGCGCGAGGAAATAGACAAGAAACTGAAGAAGGATACCGTATAAAGCAGCCTTGAAGCGATGTGTGGCCCTGTAGGATATTGTTCCAGGTCCAACTGCTCATTTCCAACAGTGAAAGAGAAACAGAATCAAACTATTCGATTCTTTAAAAAAAAATTTAAAAAAAAAAAGCATTCTAAGACATTTTAGAATTGATGGAATCAGGGAAAAAGAATAAAAGAAAAATCAACGCCGTGAGTTGGTTCAACAAAAGCGGAAAAACTCATAAGAGGGAAGGAATTGAGAATTTTTGCACAACCTTCGGATTGGAGAACTGTTGAATGCTCCCCAGAATACCTTCGAGCTGCTTAAGCTTCATCCCGAAAATAAAAGCCCAGAAGAACCAAAACCCTAGTGCGTTGCTTCTTCCTCGAATCGCGATGGTTTCGTACTTCCAACGGATTGACGTCCAAGTTATAATTTTAGAGAACTTTAAAATACCTGCAAAGTACTGAACCAAATAAAATACCCTCGATCATAATTTTATTTTCTTCAAGTTCACATGTCTTTGTATTATCCCAACGCAATAAGATCTTGGAACATCCCTTAAGGATGTTGATTGATGAGGCACAAACAAATTTATCGTCTTTATGATAAATCAATAAGATTCTAATCCTTCCTAAAAATAAAAAAGTATTGATTATCCTCGTCTCTGATCTTCCTTTTAGAAAGGCAGCAACTGTTTTCTTTGAATGAAGCAAAACTTCTAGCTTGGTATTAATATTGGAAGTCAAAAATTAGCATTGCCTTTGATGCTATTGGAACCTTTTGTACAAAAATTTTTGAGTTCGTACAATATGTTAACTTTAGAAAGAGCTCATTTATACTGTTGTTTGTTCTAAAATTATGTTAAAAGGAGCTTTCTTGAATGGTGAAGTAGTTCAAAATGAGGCCTTAATCAAGGAAAATTATGCATGTTTACCATAAAAAGTTAAGAAGAGAGAGACCCCATATTGAATACTAAGATGTGAGATTGAATGCTATAAAAAACATTGAAAAATACTTGATTATGTTGATTAAGAAAGTGGTGATATAGAGTCAGTAGTTTTGTGTGTAGGCTTAAAATAAAATTTCTTGCCCAAAAATATACCCACTTTATGTATTTTTATATGAAACTAACCAATGTTTAAAATCAAGTTATTAAAAATAATGTTGATAATTTTTAAACTCTTTATCTTGGTATAAGAGACATAAATTATTGATTTCTTTCCTCACATAGAAGATTAATTTTTTTAGCGTCCATTTCACTTTTCGAACTATGACTGGGGCTTTATTATCATAATAATAATAGATTTTTTTTATGTTATAATTTTAACCAGGTTCATTATCCTTAATAAAGATAGCATAAAGAGGATTCTTCATAAAACATTTGTTTTCATCAAGTTATTAGTTGGCAATATTCTTAAACTATAAAAAAGATATTGGGAAGAATATGCTACAAATCTTTGACCTATATAAGGTTATTTGTTAGAGTATTACTCAAATTGTTACTTATGGAAAAAGATATACACATGTCTATTAAAGACATTTGACCTATTCGAGATTGTTTGACAAAGTATTACTTTAAGACATTAATCTATATAGAGGAGAATAAAAAAAAGTCAATAAGAACTTTATATCAATGTGAGGTTGTTTCTAAGATTTTTTTATGATATTAAATAATATATAAGAGATTTGAGATAATTTCAGTAAAAATTTTAAACCTATCTCAGATTATTTCTTGAAGTATTGTTTGATGAAGTTAATTTATGTGGAAAAGATATGAAGGAAATGCACTAAATTTTGAATTTTTTTATCGAAGTGTTACTTGATGATGCTAATTTATATGAAATAATTTAAGAGAAATCACTAAGAATTCCATAGCTATTTGAGATCTTTTTTTCAGGTTTAGAATTTTACTAAGAAAACCATCAAGAATTTTTGATATAATTGTGTTTATTTATCAAATTCTTAGTGAATGATATTAACCTACGTAGAAAAAGCCAAGAGAAATTAATCAAAAGTTTATTATGTATCCAAAGGAATTTTTTAGAGTGTGACTAAACAACATTAATTATATAAAATATATAAAATTCCCCGCCCTCTCCCCCTCCCAATAGATTGATTATACCTTGATGAGAGGAGAAAAATGGTGTATGCATCTTTTAGGGTTTAGCGCCTCTCTGGCCATACTCGCAATTACGCAGCAATTTAACTTCAAAAAAATAGTTAAGAACTTGACACAATCTATATTTAGTGGCTAATATGCAAAATCGATATATTATAAAATTTAAAAAATAATTTACACACTAGAGGTACTACGCAATTATATGTATCGTTTCAAGTAATATTGGGTTTTCTTTACAAACCTCATATTGAACCAACATAGAAGGGAGGTAAGATATTCCTTAGGCTAATTCTAGTCTACTACTATCAGGTCTTAGTTTGGAATGTCGATGTAAGTGCTTTTTCTAACAAGTACTCCTAAATGTAAATCTTAAGTTTAAAACAACCAACAACTACTCCTAAATGTAAATATTAATGTAGGGTTAACAACTAATCCTAAATGCAAATATTATTTCTAAAGATAGCATATCTGGATAAATTGGTTTGGAGAATTTTAAGATGATAAAGACTACCCTTCTCGTGCAAATTCCTAGATAATGTGTAGGAATGAAATGGTTAAATTATAATGTTGTAAGTGACAAATAGGAGCAATTCTATTCTTTACTCTCTGTCAAGTGCATAAAAAACATTGGCTAATCCATAGTTTAGCCCCTAAACTCGTGGTTAGCCAGGGAAGATACTAGCTCCCACTCTAGAGTTCCCACTTCCCTCACTTGAGGGATAACAACTCACTTTAATTTCCAAACATCTGGACCAAATTAGGGATTTTAGTATGCCACTCTAAAATCTTCAATTCTATGTTCATCAAAACTTATCTCCCTATCTATTTGCACTCCCCCTTGGACAATCGTCATGGCTCTTTTCAAAGTTGAGTGTGGTACTCACTAGTTAGTGAAATCATACCCCTTCCTAGGTCATTATGTTTAGTAACAGATTTTAACAATACAAGTGATTAGTCTGTAAAATAAATTAAGAGCCGGTAAAAATACCATCACATTAATAAAATAAGAGAAGATTTAACTTTTAAGCAAATCTAAATTCCTAAACATTCGTCCATTCCATTGCAAAAGAAAAGTAAAATAAAGATAATGTCATAAGTAGTAGAAGAATTGATAGAATTATGAATTAATTATGTGCCAACAAGAAACATAAGTCTACCTACCCTCTTTTGAGTGTATAGGTATGCTTAGTATTCTATTAATTTTCTGTAATTATTTGTCACCTAGAAGCTTCTAATAGAAATATATCATTAAATTATATCTCCTTAAAAGTTACATTGTCGCCTAAACTATGTTGCCATAGCCAACCGGTCAATGTAAGTTATCTTACATAATCATGATTTTTTTTTTCATGTCATAGCTATAGTAGCATAATAGGTCTTTTTCATCTTGTATAGGATCATCAATATATTGATTATGGCTTTGGTTCTCTTTAATTTTTTAGTCCTCAGTTTGTCTAATCGTCATCTTAAGATTCTCTTTTCCAAAGAGCCCTCTTACTTGAAATGTTAGAATGATTTGGAGAAGATGAGGGATTGGAAAAGTGGGAACTAATACAAAAGCTAGGCAGAAATATTTTAAAAGAATCATGAAGAGCTTATGTACAGTAAATCTCATGTGATGAGTCAAGATTGTACGTCCAAATAGGATCAGATCGATACGCTTAGAACCAAATATCCACGAAATAATATCTACATAAACTACCCAAGTAACCATAGAACTAAATATGTGTGTTTGTTATGGGATCAAGAGAAACTTCCAAAGGAATGTATCCCTTTGGTTAATTACATCTTGGAGGATGCCCAAGAATATTCTTGATTAAATTAAGGAGTCATGCTTACATTCAAGTGATGACTTGTGAGAAGGTGTCATAAAGAAAGGTTATCTCATAGAAGCATCTCGATGCTTTTAAAGCTCTCACTAAGCTACAGAGCAGAGAGTGAGATCTAGGTGAACGGGGCCTAAGAAATAATTAGGTTGTCCCAAAGGGTCTGCGATATGCTTTCAGGCCTAACCAGATCATACGGGTATAGGGTGAATCACCGTAACCCATCTCAAAGAAGAGGTAAGAAAATCCTAATCGGGTAAAGATAGCTAGGTCAGGATACCATGGATCTTTCATCCTAAGCTATTGAGATCCCAAGTTTACCTGTTCATGAATGTTGTCGACCCAACCCGACTAAAGACCCCCTTGTCAGTAATCCATGAATTGGGTCATCTAAGGGGACCTCAGTAGCCCTAAGGTCAAGAGAAGGAAACTAAGTCATATGACTCTGACCTGACCCACAATTACGTAGATTTTTAAGCTCTGAAAGACAGTCAGAAACTTCCAATTTATGTTTAAGCGGTTAGTATGCAAAATAATATTTTATAAAATTTAGAAGTAATATAGGGGTTTTACGCAAGTATAAGTATCGTTTCAAGTAATATAGAATTTTCTTTTAAGACCCCAAGTATCGATCCCATAAAAGCAAGGTAAGAAATACCTTAAACTAATTCTAGGTTACTATTATCAGGCCTTGGTTTGGAATATCAATTAAAGTGGTTTTTTAATAACTTTTCCCAAATAAAAATATTAAATCTAAAGATAAATTTTCTAGATATAAAGATAATTTTTCTAGATAAATTGTTTTGGAGAATTTTGAGATTTTGAAGACTATCCTTCTCATGCAATGACCTAAATAATGTGAAGGAATGAAATGCTTAAAATATAACATTATCAGTGATAAATAGGAGCATACCTTATTCCTTACTCCCTCCTGGTGCTTGCAAAGAACATTGGCTAACATAAGACTGACTCCTTAACATCTCGATTCCACATCAGTGTTATATAGCCTCTCACCTTTAGATGCCTCTAACCTATGCCACCATGATAGAAAAACCCCAGCATCAGGGAAATAAACCTTAAGCCAAATTGATAAGATTCTAGCATGTCACTCTAGATCTAACTAATTCTACGTCCGTCAAAACTTATCTCTCTATTTATTTGCACTCCCCCTTAGGTGATTTCAATGGCTTTGACTAGTATGAAGTGTGGTATGCACTAGTTAGGTGAAATCATAGCCCACCCAGGTCATTATGTTTCTTAACAGATTTTAACCTCACAGGTGATCAATTTGCAAAGTAAATTAAGAGCCAGTGAAAATACCATCGCATTAATAAAATAAGAGAATTTCTGAGCAAATTTAAATTTCTAAACATGCATCTATTTCATTGCAGAAGAAAACTAAAATGAAGATAATGGCTAAGGCAGTAAAATGATTAATAGAATTAAGTAATAAATTATGTGCCAACAAGGAACATATGTCTACCTACTCTCTTTTGAGTTTATAGTTATGTTTAGTATTCTATTAGTTTTATGCAACTATATGTCACCTAGAAGCATCTAATAGAAACAAATCCTTAAATTATATTTTCTTAAAAGTTGCATTGCCGTCTAAACTATTTTACTAGCCAACCGGTCAATGTGAGTGCACTCAAGTTGAGAGATCACCGCTCTCCCGAGTTTTAGTTTCACTCACAAAAAATTTTAACATAACTTATTACCACATAAGTTATGTCAATGAAGCAAAAAAGATATTACTCATCACATGA